TCCAGACCGCCACACAGCGGATAGCATTTGAAGTTAAAACTTTTTTTTATTTTTTATTTTTTTAATTATACTCAGTTGAATATTTGCCCTTAATCGATGGAGGAGTCAAGAGTATTTATTGCACTTAGTAATTAGTTGTGTAATCTGCTGTTCATTTAAAAAAAAAAAAAAAAGTACAAACCACCCCCAGCTTTTTGGTATTACAATAATGGTTAAGCAAGTTTTGTTTCCAGTCCTTTTTGGAGTTTGACGGTGTGGATGGAAAAACCAACGACTATATGTAAACTTTTTTTTTCTGAATAAAAGTTAATTCCACTGAGATACAATTCTCTCTTGTTTTATATTGCATGGTAAGTTAATAAAGAATAGGCTAATRTATGCATAGGCTGACATTGTTTTGTGGAGGCTCGAAAGATGTCTCCAGAAGAGTTTCCTGCTGGTTGCAGTTGCCCAGGACGGCTCCCTGTGAAGGTAGGTGGGTGCCAGGGGCTGTGATGGGTGCTGGGAGGCTGGGCAGTAGCCACTGGAAAAGCTTCCCTGCATCTCTGSAATAAATAGTTCCCTTACAGCAATAATGTGATTCTAAGTCTTAAAGTGCAGTTTTTCTTAACAGAAGATGGCAAAAGTGTGAATTACTCTGTTGCCTTGGTGAACCCTTACCACGACAAACCTCATAGTTCTGTTATTAAGAGAAAACTAATATGAAAGGTATTGTTACCTAAATCTTCTTTTAAGGATTGACTGCAGTATGTCTGTATAAAACCAGGAGACCACAGGTTTCTAAYTTGCAAGTTACAACAAAAGTCATCYCTTATTYCTAAGCTGTACAGAGTAAACTCTTGGCAAAATGAGAAGCAARGATCTGAAACTACTCCTCTAGCTAATGAAGGACTCGTAAGTTCYGGATTTCAAATTCCCTCAAAACATTATTAATACCCTCTGCTGTCACTGCGCTGAGCTTTCCCAGTGATGTAACTCGTTTCTGTAGGCAGAACTGGAGGCTGCAGTCACTGACATTCAGTGTCAGGTAGCGTCTTGACTTCCATAAACTGGAGGGCTGAAATTTAAACATAGAGAATGCTTGTCCTGGAAATTATTTTATTTTAGCATGCAGCTCGCCTCACTGTTTCACTCAGAATTGAGGAGACGTGAAGCACAAAGCACAGAAAATGGCCACAGAGTCGGAACTTGCTGTCGCCGTTGTCAAGGGCCGGGAAGTTCCCGTGGGAGCAGTTCAGCAATCCTGCTGCCTGGGAGCTGGAGCCGTGAGYGTCTGCGCTGAGTGTGAGCAGGGGGAGATACTCTTCTGGTGGGGTTTACTCATGGGACTTTAAAATCACTACCCTATGGGAAGCTCTGAAACTTTGGGAAACTTTACTATGTGGTGGTTATTATCCACATAATTTTTCTCTTGCACAARTTCCTGTTTAATGCTTAGAGTTGCAGTCTCTTGCAGGAAGGTTTGTATTGACAGAAGCAATGCAGCCTATTTGAAGGTAAATCAGTGATAATCTTGTGGTTTTTACAGCATTTGGACACACTTGCACATGTATTAACCTATGAATAACAGAACCAAATGCTCACTGCAAAGCAGTTCTGGAGCTGGCAGGGTGGTTTGTAGCTGTTCCCTCATTCACCCAGCGCTTCCCTAGGAGCCCAGCTGAGGGCTGGGTGTGCGTTGCAGCCTGCGTTCCCTGAGGACCGGAGCGGTTCCAGCTGCTTTGTGGTGAAGAGATTTGGATAAACACTACTGGTGCTTCTATGAAAGAGAGTGACCTGGCCACTCTTTGTACTGTCTCGTTAAACAGGTACTTATTGTAGATTAAATGTAAAAACACCTAGAGAATGCTTAAGTGTAGCACTTTGATCAGGTAGGGAGGTTTTGCAACAAAGTAAGAATGTAACCAAATATAGGAGAAACTTTATGCTGCTACTCAGTTTAAATTCACAATTCTATTTAGAGAAACCCTTCCATTGAAAAGGTGGTTGCATGCTTTGCTCTCTAAGTAGTTGTTTCTATATTGTGACTTCTTGGGGGGAGCCTGATGCACTGGGCACCCAGCAGAGCCGGTCCCTGAGCAGCAGTGTCGGTGCCGCTACTGCGTGAGCCCACGCGGTGATTCCAACATCTCCTTCCTCGGAACTGCACTGGGAGCCAGGGCATGGAGCCGCTCCACAGGGCCAGAATCCACGCTGAGATTTCCTGTGCAGGCCTATGTTATATCAGCCCATTGAGCTAAGGCACAAGGTAACCCCACGGAATGCTTCAGGAGCATTAGGTTTTCACGATGCCTCCTGAGGGAAAGTTGGAAAATTCCTAATGGTACCTGCAGTTGTCACAGCTGTGGCCAGGAGCTTGCATAGGTTGTTATTTGCTTTAGAGGAGAGAGAAAAAGCCCTAAAATAAATACRGTCCCTGGGAAGTAGAGTAAAAGATGTCGGCTCCATGTAGAGGCTGGTCCTGCAAATCCGCGGATCCTGGAAACAGGCTCGTTGGGCCCCTTGTGCCCAGCCCCCGTTTTGCTCAGGTTCTCAGCACTGCAGTAACTAACTCATCTTTTAGAGGTCGGGGCTGTGGAGCCGAGGGTGCRGGAAGAGCTGCTTGTTTGCAGTTCTTCAACAGCAGGAAACTGGTCCTTTCTATTTCATGGCTGAATCCTTGGAGATGGTCCTCATGGAGATGAGGAGGACCTCAAGAATAGCTGCAGGAAAATGCCATTTATACTCTATGCACTGACAGCCTTTAATAATTTGCAATAGCTCTGCTACCTTCTCTAGCTGCTGTGCAAGCTGGTCTGTAAGTCAGTGATTCACACGGGGGAACAAGCATCACCAAATACTACTTACTAAAACACTATTGACTTCCTTTGTACTGGGAGTGCAGATGTTTCAATGTATCCTGTGGAATATCTAATCTCGCAACACATACAAAATTCCTGCATTGGGGTGAACTCGGTGCGTTTAGGAGTTACCTTGATCTGAGCTCTTAGAAATGGGCTGTAGCTCCCGTCTGCCTGCAGGATGCAGGGCTCCCAAGGTGCCTTCCCAAGGTCTCCTCCTAGCCCCTGCTCTGGATGCTGGGAGTGTCCTCCTCCTTCAGCCCACCAGAGTCAGCGCAGGGCTGGGGGGATGATCTGTTTCACACTGGAAAAACTGCTGATGCCAAACCCCCTAGTGGGTTTGAACTGATCCTGGCCAAGGACCCTCTGTTCCGTGAGGACGTGCCAGTTTGGGCTTCTCTGCTCTGGCTTTCATGACACTGTGCGGTAGATGTTTGGCAGCTAGGGCAAACAGGCTTGATTTCAGTTTCGGCAGCTGATGGATGCAGCAGGGCTTGGGGGTGTATTGAAGGACACACTGAAGCCAGGTGAGCAGCGGAGCCCGGCCCCGTGGCCACCACGCGGGCTGCAGGCTGGCACTGACCCCGCACAGGGCCCCGGGCTGTGCAGCTGAGCCCTGCGACGCCCCAACGCGCCCGCCAGGCCCCGGCCCCGCTGCCGTCGAGCAGGGTCCCCGTGGACACCCTCCCCGTGGACACTGCGAGGGGATCACAGGGCCTTTCGCCTCCGTGCGGGCCTGATCTCTGTTTGAAGAGGCGAGGGCGGCGGGGTGAAGGCCGCGCTCGGCTCCACACGTGCGGCGGTGCTGGGGAGCGAGCCCTGGGCTCCGCGCAGCAGCCACCCTGCTCCYGCTGCGGCGGTGCCAGCCCTCCTGCCTCGCTCCTGCGTGTTCAGCCCTGGCTCCTGCAGCTGCCAGATCCCAACCTCCTGCCCGGCTCCTACTGTGGCACAAGAGAGGCCAGGSCCGGCTGTCGATGCCCGTGCTCTGCAGGAAGAGCCAGCCTGGCCTTCAGACAGGACTCCCTTGTGCACCCGTTGTCTCCGAACCAGGCAGGTCCCTGTGTTTACACCCCCTGAACCGCCGCATGTTTCTCCCCAYGCACACCGGCTGCACCCCCAGGTCAACCAGGGACTGTGCGCGCGGCTGCCTGCGCCAGCCTCCGGCCTCCCTGGAAGCAGAGCAGCCGCAAGGGCTGCTTTTGGACRGAGAACAGTAGGAGASGAGCACCTGCAAGAGCACCCGTGCRCTTGTTTCTGTATCTTGCACCCTTGTGGCGTCGCCGCTTCGGAACAGGATTCGCTCCTGCTGCCTGCGCTCTGCTCCRTCCACGCGAGCCCGTTCCGAGGCTGCACCGCGAAGCCCAGGCTGAGTCAGCGAGGACAGAGGAAACCCTGAGCCTGCTCCGAGGAGGAGCGAGGCCGGGGCACTCGGAGCCCGCGCCCAGCCTGGCCGCACTGTAACGTCAGAGTGGGAGCTTGGCGGGAGGCATCGCTCCAAGAGAGCTCCCTGTCTGGGGACAGCGCCAAGGGGTAGAGACCATCCGCCACCCCTGGCCAGCGGTGACCATCCGGCKCCCCACGGAAAAGGGAATCCTCATTGCCTGTCGGAGCAGCACAGCAAGGGATAAAAACGCCACCAACCTGCCTTTTATTCCTCTTTTAAGTCTTACTTGACTTGAGAACTTACTTAAAAGTCTTAAGTACATGACTAAGAATATCATTAATCAATTCAATTAACAGAAGCAGGTAACAAGGAAAGTGCCAGACCTATGAAGGACATGMCTATTTTTTAAACAAAGTTCCCACAGCCCGTGGATCCCTCCTTAATTAGTTCTTCTTTCAGCTTCTTCAAAACATTTTCCCACTTTGGCCGTTGTAGAGTCTGCCCTTATTGCAGCCTCGCTGCAGCCTCCTGCCATTCCSTTGTCCAGGCCCTGCGTAGGCAGGGAAGGTGTGCAGGGCACCTGCAGTGCCCGGCAGCAGGGAGCGAGGGGCAGG